GAACCCACCAACCAGTCACTTCACAGAAGACAGATATGGCGGTCTACTGCTGTAAAGATTACAGCATTGGAAACCCTATGGGGCAGTTCTACTCTGTCCTATAGGGTCACTATGAGTTAGAATTGACTTAATGGCAACGGGTACGATGCTGGAAGCTACATATTTCAAATACCAGCAGGGTCACCCACGGTGGATACGTTTCAAAGGAGCTTCCAGACTAAGATGGACTAGGAAGAAAGGCCTAGCAATCTACTTCTGAAATTTAGCCAATGAAACCCATATGAATCACAACAGAATATTATCTGATATAGTGCTAGAAGATGAGCTGCTAGGTTGGAAGGCACTCAAAATACACAGTGAGCACACAATGGACTCGAGCATACCAGTGATTATGAACATGGCGCAGGACAGGGCAACATTTTGTTCTGTTGTACATGGGGTTGCCATGAGTCAGAGCTAGCTTAATAGCAACTAACAACAACCATACATGCTGGGCACTGTATTAGGCTCTGAGGACTCCTTGGTGAAGAATTCAGACAAGGTCTTTAAATTCTCAGTCTACTGCAGGGTTTCTCAACCTTGCTACTACTAACATTTGGGGCCAACCAATTCTTTGTTAAGGAGCCCTGGTGGCACAGTGCTTAAGCTTTTCGGCTGCTAACTGAAAGTTCGGTGGTTAGAACCCATCAGCTGCTCTGCAGGAGAAAGATGTGGCAGTCTGCTCCCATAAAGATTACAGCCTTGAAAAGTGTATAGAGGCAGTTCTACTCTGTCCTATAGGGTCACTGTGAGTCAGAATTAACTGGACAGCAATACGCTTAGTTTTTGGTTTTGGAGTTCTTTGTTGTAGAGGCTGTCTGTGATGTTTAGCAGCATCCTTGGCTTCTACCCACTATATGCCAGTAGCACCTGTCCCCCTACTACCCCAATTGTGATGACAGAAACAGGTCTCCAGACAGGGCAGGGAGTGTGCCAAAGTGCCCCGGGTGAGAACCACCAGCCTAGTGGGAGAGAGAAACAGAGCAAATAAATATGTCCTACTCTTTCTGTCATGGTAAGTGCTAGGAAGGAAAACAAAAAAAGAAGAAAGAAAAAGCAGGGAAAGGAGAGGTCCCAAATCTTCTTCCTTTTATTTTCATTTTGTTCCTGCATCCCTTGCATCTCTTCTCCCCACCCACATTGCGGGCACCTGCCTGATGGGTCACACATCGCCCACCCCTGCCCTCTCCAGCAGCCTTTTTTGCTTTCTTCCACCTGCCATTTGCTTAATCCAACCAGCCCCTCCTAAACCCCAAACCAAACCCACTGCCGTCCAGTCAACTCAACTCCTAGTAACACTATAGGACAGAGCAGAGTTTCCCTCAGGGTTTCTAAGGCTGTAGTCTTCACGGAAGCAGCCTACCAGATCTTTTTCCCAAGGAGCAGCTGGTGGGTTCGAACCGCTGACCTTTAGGTTGGCAGCCAAGTGCTTAACCACTGAGTCACCAGGGCTCCTCTGCAGTCCCTCCTAGAAGGAAGTAAAAACCAAAAAACTCTTCCAGAGTAGACCTCTCCTCCGAGGTAGCTAATTGCCTCATCGTGGCTGTAATGGCACGAACTGGCCTCTGTTCTAATTGGCCAGAAAGGAACAAAACAAAACAAGATATTTAAAACACCTCCCTGCCTCAGTCCTGTCCTTACACCTAACGGACAGGGAGGCCTGCTGCAAGCTGAAGGCCGATAACTCCTAGTGTGCTTATTTTCATAGTCAGCAAACAGGCTATCTCGGGATGCAGCTTGCTGGGGCCTCTCCTGCTGCTGATCGCCTGGCTGTAGGCCAGCGGGACTGGAGAGCCATTTCCGGGAGGCCAGGCCTCGGCTAGTAAGGTGCCAGGGAAGGGAGCTGGGGCCAGCCCTTTCCCTCCTGAGAGACTGCTTATCACCATGACACTCCACTTCCTAAGCCTGATTCTATCCCCTGATTCTCTGTGTCTCTTGGGAATATTAAGAGACACACGGCTTCACCTATTTTTATCAGCTCATTGCTTATTAGTATCACCACAAAACCTGCTTGTTTAGGCCTGTGCTAGCTTTTCTATCCAGAGGCATAATGGTTGGACTTTTTTCCTTCTCTTTCATTTAAATCAAGGTTTCTCACCCTCTGCACAGTTGGCAATGGGGACTGGATTATTCTTTGTGATAGGGTGGCTGTTCTGTGCATTGTAGGATGTAGCAGCATCCCTGGTCGCTACTCACTAGATGCCAGTACCCCCCTAACCCCTAAGTTGCCTTAGTCGAAAATGTCTCCAGACATTGCCAAATGTACCCTGGAGGCAAAACCGCCCCTGGTTGAGAGCCACTGATTTCAGGGAATATAAAACCGTAATTTTAGAGATGGTAAAATGTTCCCCTTGACATCTCCTTGGAGGTTTGTAGGGACCAGGGAGCTCTCTCTGGATCTCAGTCAGTAACGAGGGGGTTTGAATCAGTCTATTGTAAAGGTGTATTCCAGCTGTACCATTCAGCACTTAAAACACATTCAAAACAGCCCTGATCTTGCAGTTGCTGTTTGTGGATTTTAGCCTTGTTGTTCCTGCTGTGCTTGTTCAGCTTGTTTCTCTGTTTAGACGTGGGCCGAGAAGGCATGGGGTTTAGGGCTATGGAGTCAAAACTGGCCCTCACCTGCTGTGTGACCTTGGGCCACTCAGTTCACTTCTCTGGGCCTGATCTCTAAGGAACAGTGGTCCCTACCTCATCGCCTGGTATGAGTCAATCTGTGTAAAGCACTGATTTAGCAAGGAGGTGGGCCCAGGACAAGCACGCAGTAGCTGCTGGGGATTACTCAGTGCAGTGGGGGGTTTAAGAAGGGCCACTGAATGGATGGCCCTCTAGGTGGAGGGCCTCTAACATTTGGTTTTCTTTTTTTCCTGCTTATCAGCCACATTCCATCAAGCCCAGGACTGGTCCTTAGTAGGCTTGCCCCAGGATGCCTTTTCAATCCCATCCCTCCCAGGATTCCATCTGCCACCATACCTTTGTCTCCGGCCCCGGCCCAATTGCCATTTCCCAGATAACCTCAGACCTACCCGAATGCCAGCAGCATTCCTCAAACAGAGCAGGGCTGCCCGAATAAGCCAGCAGCTTCCTGCTCTTTGCCCCAGAAAACATTTCAAGTGATCAAGTGATCAGAGGGAGGGAGGGAGGGGGAGGATGCTGCAGCTGCTTATGCAACAAGCTTAATCCCTGGGTTAAAATCCACCACGGGCACCCAGGGGCATATTTCATTTCCTCATCAGGCGATGGAGTTGCACACGAGATCCGCCAGGATCTCACAGTCCTGTTTGTTCCTCCACAAGCACCACCCGCAGACACAAACAGTATCCCATATGGGATGGTGGTAGTGGGCTGCTGCCCACACAGCTAGGAGAAAGCACAGTCTGATTAGCTCTGGCCTCCGCCTGTCAGCATCCCCGCCCCCCAATTTGATCTCCTTGTACACGTGCCCACTCTCAGGAAGAGCAGGCTCCCCCACTGTGGTGAGGCCCAGGCCTGTTGTCCGGAGTGCTAGACTCTTTTCAGGCCAGGTGGTGGTGGAGTTGTCCCTCCCTGTATCTTGGTCTTTACAGCCTAAAAAACAACAAAACCCTGTTCCTTTTCACAAAGCCTGGTTCCTGCCCTGCAGTCGTGTGTTTCAATTCCCAGTATGTCCCTAAGATTCCCAGCTAGCAAGAATTTATGTGCACGCGGTGGGCATCTGTTGTCCATGTGGGGCGGGGGGCAGGGCAAGCAAGAGATGAGCTCTTCCCTTTCTTTGTGGGAACGGTGTGGGGCACGGAAGCCCACAAATGCTAATTTTAGGAGAGAGGAGACTTTTTTGCTCTGTAGCTGTACCTTGTGGCATATGGCTGTGTCACCTCTGTTGCTCCAGCTTCCTGTTTTAAAAAATCTTGTTAGTGAAGCACCTTGTTAAAAAAAAAAGGAAGAAGAAAGATAGAGTGAGTGGACATTTTAAGATCCTTTTGGATTTGCCTTTTTTTTCTCAGGGTACAGACCAACTATAAAGGCAGCTTTAGGGAGGAAACTGTCAAAGACCTTCTAATACTATTGAAATTGGTAGAATTATAAGCAGCTCTGAGAAGTTAATGTTTTACTGGGGAGCTGTGCCAGAGATGGGGGGGCTGCCAAGTGTGGGGCTGTGTGTGAAATAGCTGTTCCATCTGCCTTAGGGGACGAAAAGAAGCCGTTCTCTGTGGAAATAAACTGAAGCAAGAATCCTTATAAAGCTCATGGGATTTGGCTGCCCACCGTGGGCCCAGTTCCCCGAGAACATACATACAGGGGTGATTGTGCCAGAAAGGGTGAACCTGAGGGTGCAGGCCTGACGTATAATGGGGTTTCTTGTTCCCTCGCTGAGTTTGACATCTCTCTTTCTCCCTCTGGATTTAAATGGCTTCTCAGACCGAGAGGCACTGCCTGTGCCCTGGATTCAGAAGGTACACGCCTCTTTGGGAAGCAAAGGCAAGAGACAGCGGCTCTCTCTCTCTCTTTCTGCATCTGCCGGGAGAGCTGCTGCTGGTATTTTTCCACAGGCCTCCTCTGCTATCTCAGGGCCTAGTTTTTCCCAGCCGGGCCCAGAGTCTGAGAGAGGGTTAATAGGCAGGAAGCCGAAGGCATCGCAGACTAATACGGAAGTCAGATTTTTGTTTAACTGACAGGTTTAGCAGGCCTCAGCAGTGGGGGAGGGGGCTGGGAGGAGAAGGGAAGTTTGTAGACTAGGCATGTGGCCTGCTAGGAGCACGTTTGGCTTTTCTTAGGGTAAGGACGGAGAGGCGGTCCCCTCTTGGCATCTTGGCAGGGAGGCAGGAACCCATTTTGGTTCTCCTTTGCATACTGGCTGAGGGGGCGAGATGTTAGATTCCGTGCCGGGAAAATGGCTCTCTGGCCTGCTTTTCCAGGAGGCGTTTTGACAATGACTGGGCAAACTTGACCACTCTCTTCCCCTCCTCCTCTCAGTAGTGGAATCTTCTTTCCTCTGAGAAGCCACTGCTGCTTTTTGATGATTTCTTGGGGCTTGCCTGTCTGTTTTCCCTCTGCTCCTCAGAGGCCTGCTTCAAGCCTTGCTTTCTTGCTCCCTTAGCTTGTTTCCTGGGGCTTCCCCCTCCTCAGCTTAACTTCTCCCTTGGAGAAACATTCTGCTGGATTGTTCTAGAAAAGGACAAGCCTTCCTCCCAGAAAAGGGCCGTTTCTGTGGGGGCAGATGAGGGTGAGCCTTTCAGCTCACCCCAAAAACTCTCTTTCCAGTGGCATCCTGGCCTCAGGCTTTGCTGGAGCAGGTCAGGCTGGCTGCACTGGTTTACCCGTGCTGGCAAATCTAGCCAGAGTGTGGGAGAAGTGCGTCTGGGGGCCCCTTTCCCAAGTTTTTCTTGCTGCAAAAGGCCTAGCTTAGCCTGTCTTTTTCTATGCACAGGATGGCTCTTGCTCACCAGAGCCTCACAAAGATAATCGCTCAGGAAGTGTTTCAGCCAATCCCGAGCGGCTTTACACTCCGATTTGCCGGAGCAGCCAATCGGGGATGAGCTCTTATTAGGCGGCCAGATCATCAAGCCGAAGTGCCAAACCCTTTTTCTGTGTGAGAACTAGGAGCCTGTCCTCCATGTTTTATAAGTATTGACATTACACAGTGTTAACAATGCATCCACAGAGGTAAGCTCGACTTTTTAACCATCTTTTTTTCCCCCTCCCTCTGAGACATCCGAATTGTGGGCGAGCAGTGTGATTTCTCTGTGGCTGGCCGTGCCACACTCCCCCCCTGAGCACTTAGGTTAACTTGGAACTGTTTAGAGAGATTTTTTTTTTTTTTTTAAATGCTGCCTTGGGTCACATGGCTCAGTAGCCATTAGCCATAGCTTGATTTTGCAAACTGGCAAGGGCCTTGCCACACCTTGCCTTTCAACAGGGCAAGGTGTTTTGGGAATAGTTTGAAGCTAGATCCTGGTATGCCAAAAAAGCAGCTTTTTCCCCCCTCTCCTCTCTCTTTCTCTCTCTCTCTCTCTCTGAGCAGTTTCTCTCCCTGCACTATTGTCTCTTGTGTCACATGCCTGCTGGGGGAAGAAAATGGAAGGTAAGCAAGCAGGCTTCTCTCCAAGGGGAGCTTATGGCAGACAGCAAAGCAGGCAAGTTTACCTCTCCAAAGAGGTTCTGGGAAGGCTTGCCTAAGTTCTGACAAGCCAGGATGTGTGTTTTTAAAAGAACCAAACCCTCAGCAGAGCATGCTAAGGCGAGATGGGAGCTCCTGGGGCCTAGGTGGGTGGTGGTGTCTGCTGTATGGTCTTATCTCTTCATTCAGGGCTTCTTCACTTGAAACTACCTTGTTTAGCCTTTTTTCCTGACTTAAGTTAATTCAGAGTGAAGCCAGCAGATGTTTCTTGAAGTGTTTTCTAGGCGTTGGAGGAAGTTTTTGGAGTAGGGATGGGGGAGTGGTGGTGGTGGTGGGGGTGCTGGACAACATCCTGTAATAAATCTGTGAGGACTCTTTTTTGAATCCCTTAGCTTTGTACTTTTGCATGGTTTTCAATGAACTAATGTATCTTTTATCCTTGTTTTTATTTTCCTTTCCTTTTTTTTTTTACATTGTATCATCTTCTGCCCTTCTCTGTGATAGAGTGCAGAGGAAATAAAATCATGTCTGTGGCTCATGACAGCATTCCATATTCAGTTGTTGGGTTGTGTTGTTGTGTGTGTTTTTAATAATACCATGTAACTGTTTAAAAAAATTTCCTTTTTGATCAAGTCCCAAATCTGCCAGCCTGTTCTCTCTTCCTAACTGTGGAAAAATGAGACGGTTGCTTGAACATTTGTTGGGTAAGTAAAGCAATCCATTTCCTCTGACCATGTATAAAGAGTTTTGGAAACATTGTGGGTCTGCTTGCAGTAAGAGGGTCTTGGCTCCAGCAGTTAGGGGCTTTATTTTCCCACAAACCAAATGAGAGCTTTTTATTAATAGTGTCTTGATTTTAGGTGACTGTTTGAATCCACTGTTTTTCCAGATAACCTACAGATAGAAGATTGCACTTCCTGTTTACCCTCAGCCAGGGGAGAAATGTTCAGTTCATTGTGACTCGATTCTAGACTTTTAATTGGGTTTGTTTGGATGTATGAACTCTGGGTAGGTGATCTGCTTGTGAAATGTGATGTAGTTGTTCTTATAGTCACAGAGCCCTGAACATTGGTGGGTCAGGAGCTGGTGGTGGTGGTGTGTGTGTGTGGGGTGGCGGTGGTGGTGGTGTCAGTACTTATGTTTTAGAATACTTAGGTGTAGTGCTAAAATACCCCCCACCACCAAACTTAGTTTGATTCAGGACTCTCAATAGACTCCGGCCCTTTTCCAAGCCTGACCCACACATCAGTATGCATGCTTAGCTTTAACTTATGATTTATTTCTCACTGTTCACATTTCCCCCGAATGCTTAATGCTGTAGCTAGAACTTAAAAAAAGTAGACTCTTGTTTAGCATTACCTTCAGAATTTCCCTAGAAGTTCACTCCATAAATTTTCCAGCTTGGCGACCAATCCGGTACGACTGTAAATGCTGGAAATACATTCAGTTGCTGTGTTATGCCAACTTTATGGAGACAATACTCCTTTTTCTTTTAAAGTAGTGTCCAGCAACTCACCTTTTAGCACCAGTTGGAAGTAAGGAGAAATGTACCAAATTCTAAAGTTGAGAGAAGACTTGTGTGAGGCAGGCCAGCTTCTTGCAGTAAAAGTCCAGGCAGTTAATGATGTTAAATACTTGAAATTGAACAGTGCTGCTACCCCCATACAAGTAAGTTGAGACACTTGGCTTTTTTCTTTGTTCTTATCTGCTTGCTGTAAATGGAAATTATATATCGAGGTTCTTGTGGCCTCCCTAGAAGCAGTATCTAATCACAAGACTCCTGGTTTGGTGCCTTCAACGTTTGCATAATATTGGGCTGGAAGGAAACTTGAGGACAAGGCATTTGTCCTCTAAAAGCTTGCATTGAAATGGCTCCCTCAGGTTTGGAAAGCAAAGGTCTGTTTTCAGAAGTGTAGTTCCAGCAAGTTCTCAGCCCTGGGCCAAGCTAGCTACTACCACCAAGCATGAGTCTGTAAAAAAGTTAATTGCCTTCAAAGTAGCATTGCTTTCCATTTGCACTAAAGGGGGAAAAAAAATAAATGTCTGCATTGCAGCAGGGCTAGGTAGGGACAGCAGTGCTGGCTCCCAGAGAGCAGCCCAATGGGGTTCTTCTCGCCAGCTTTTGAACCAATAGACTTGGAGGAAAGGTTAAAGATTGACAATTGAAGTGGCTGGACTGAGAATGGGCCTTCTGGAAATTTCTACCATCTTTGTTCCTTTTAGGAAAAGCAGATCCCACCAAGCTGAAGAGAGTCTCCCACATTCCTAGGGCACCCCTCCCCCCCTTTCCTTTTTACATCAAGGTAGAATGGTCTCTGCCACGTTTGTAAATTACAGAGGGAGGAACAGAATGCTGGGCTGTTTTTTTTTTCTTTTTCCCTTCTGCCTCCTCAGTCCCCAAAGAGGATGCACAGCTGCAAGGAACAAACACAGACACACTGGAGCTTTTGATTCCTCTTTTTTTTTTCCCCTTCAAGACCCTCCTGGATGGATTCACTTTTCTGCTTTGGGAAATTAAGTGGCGTTCACTTGGGGGAGGGGAAGCAACTGCTCATATTAGCTCCAGAAAATGGTCAGTGTTCAGTCTTAACTAGGAATTAATTATATATAATCACTCAGTAAACTTTCTGCAGAGCTTTTCTAATTGCTGAGCATGAACATAGCCCACTGGAGCCAAGTCCAGTTACTTTTATAATTAACAGTTCAAAGATTTGAGTCAGAAAGAAAGAAATAATGGGGCCTCTTGGATTATAAATTAGGGATGAAAACAATAGCTTTTTTTTTTACCCTTTCTTTTGTAATCTCTTTTTCTTTTAAACAAAACATTCCTCCTTTCTTTATCCTGGAGAACAGTGGGTGAACGGCTTTAGTTCTTAAATAGGAGAGGGGGGAAAATAAGTCACTTTTTAAAAAGCAGGGTGACAGTAACCCAGAAAACCCTGAAAGCAAAGGTAGGTTTTTAAAGTCCAACCACTTCAAATGTGCAATGTCTTTGTTTCTTTTGCCTTCTTTCCTCTCCACTCCTGTGGCAGAGGCAACGTTTGTCAGCACAGGAGCCCTAGATCTGGTTTTGCCTCTGGTTGACCCTGGGAAGAAAAAAAAGAAATACATGCGAAGGTGCCTTTGGTCTCCCCCAGTGGAGATTTAATAAGGGAATATGCTTAGAAACCCTTTGGTTGCCCATAAAATACAATACCAAGTAAGGATTCACCCTTGGCTTCAGGTTGCTAAGGCTGCGATTGCCCTTCCCCCTCCTCCCCATTCTCCTTCCAGACAAACAAGCCGGCAGGAGCCATGTCAGCCTCTGCAGCTAGCAACACTGCCAGGCTGTCTGTCCCCATCAAGATTACCTACCTACCGGCCGGCGCGACGCCAGGATCCCGTCCTGGCCCTGGCACAGCTGTGGGCACCATGCCCTCCTTTCTCCCCTGGAGCTAAAAAGCAGTCACCTTGAAACTCCCCACTCACACTAGCGGGAAAGTCCTGAGGCCAGTCCTCAGACCTGTGTTCTCTTTAACATAAATGATGTTATCCACTCTTAGGCTCTTAGTTTGGTCTCCGAAAGTGAGTTTTGCAAAACCCCATTTTTTCTTCTCAGGGTCCTGTTGGAGGGGGACAAAAATCTAATTTGTGCGTATCCTGTGCATTGGTTAAATGAGTGTTTTCCTTGTGTTTCTCCTCTGCAGACTCGGATTGTCTTTCCTTGATGTTAACTGTCTTAGGACTGGCAGCTTTGGAGGGATGGGTGTTCAGTGGCCGTTTTCAGGCGTATAAACAGCCTTTTTATTTTAGTTTGGCCTCAGACCCCGGTGCAGCCCTTAGCTTGGCTTTTCAGATGCCTGCTGTCCTTGAAGCACTTTTGGGATGGACGCAAAGCTGGTTTCTAATATCCCGAAAAGGGGAACTGGGCAACCTCCCCCACCCCAGCCTGCTCTTCCATAACATTTTGGTGTTTGCACAGACACCTGCCTATCTTCAGTATATGCCACAGGGCTGCATAATTCTTAATCTTCCTGCCACCTAATTTGAGGGCCAGGGGGCCTCTTCACAGAGCTCACATTGAAGGTTCAGGAACTAAAAAGGAAAGGGCTTTCCTTAGGAACCTGTGACTTCACAAACTCCCCCTGTCATTGCAGTTTTTTTTTTTTTTTTTTTTTTTAAAGCTTCTAAACGTTGGGTTGTTGGTGTCCTTTGGCTGAGCTTTTTCCTAGTTCTGATATTTAGGAAGGTGGCTTTGAAACTAGCAGGGCTGCTTAAACAACAGCTACAGCTGTTGAACAAACTGCTACCATTTTAGCTTCAATACAGGAATGAGGCAGTGTTGCCAGACGCCATTTTAAGAATCCTGCATAAATAGCTTAGCTACCGATGACTCTGCCTGTTTTAGGTGAGTGCTTATGTAAAGCTGCTCTGCTAACAATTCCCTTCCCCCCCATTTTTTAAAAATTAATTGCAGATCTATGGAAGCATGGTTTTGAAATTTTTGAGAAAAATGTTGATGTTCACTATTTTGTGATTTAGAAGAGGAAGATGTGTCTTGGGGATTAAATTTTTCTTAACAGCCTGGACCAGTTTGGTATTTTCCATGAAAGTAAAAACCAGGAGGAAAAGTCCTTTTGAATGATGCATGATTCTTGAATTGCTGTGTGGTGATCCTCATTTGTAGAACCAGAGTCTTGTGCATGCTGGTTATGTATTCTAGATGGGTTAGATATTCCTGGTTAAAAGTCAAGATAGTAGGGGCACCTGGGGAAAAGAAGTATCTGGGCATTGTGTATCTAGGCATTTTGCTGTCAAAACTAGATGCTTTTTTTTTCCTCTCTCTCGGAAGTGCGGAGGGGATGGGATTCCTGGGAATTACGGACCAGCCTTGAGTCCTCAGAATTAATAATCAGAAGGCTTAAACATCCTGGAGGTGCAGCAATTCATCCGCAACTTTTAATTGCTCTTTTTCAATGCTTGCAGGTTCAGAAGTAAGCCTGGGTTTCCTTACTCAGACATTGGGGGAGAAATACTGGATGGGCTTGATTGTGTTTGCAGGGGCTGATGTTTCTTCTTTGAATTGCCTGCAATGTATCCAGTTTGTGAAATCCATAGGCAAGTTACTTAGGGTAAATGCAAGTGCAGAAGGTAGTGGTGGTGGGGAACATACAATATATACAACTGGTTGATGCTGCGTTTTCCTTTTGGAGTGAGAAGCTGTTTGTTTGGTTTTCAGCTAACTTCACCCATTCCTTCAGCGGGCCCCCAGTCTCCCCAGCAGACCTAATTAAAAAAAACAGTCAGTTTGAAACTAGGGCTTGTTGTTCCATTGTTTTTCATATTAAATAATCACCCAGATTGCTGGAGGCCAGCAGATATGGAAGGAAGGATGCTGTATGTTTTCTAGGACTTTAATGTGTTAATGACAGGAGTTGCAAGTATTTTCTCCAGATGCTGCTTTCTTTGCTTTATAACGATTACTGTTATTTGACTGTTGTTACCCCCAGATGACTGAACAGTTCTTAATCTAAATTGACCAAGAACCTGTGTGGCATTCAGACAGGTACAAGTCTTTTCTTACTACCACTCTTGATGTAATATTCGTAGGTTTTTCTTTCCCTAATAACATACTAGTACTTAACACTAAACCAAAAAAAAAAAAAAAAAAAGAAAACGAGATCAGTGGTGTAGAAAAAGGAAGTCCCTTTAGATGTGGCTATTCAAAATGACTAATTTTGCATTCTGGTCTTTGCTTTTGTAAATGAAGTTTTTCCCTCCCCTTTTAATGCATAAAACCAAAAACCAAACCTACTGCCTTTGCCGACTCATAGCAACCCTATAGGACAGAGTAGAACTGCCCTATAGGGTTCCCGAGGCTGTTTTAATGCGCAGACAGTGCTGTTTTCTTTAGTCAGATACAAGTTACTGTGTGTGTGTGTGTGTGCGTGTGTCTGTGTGTGTGCGCGCGTGTGTGTGCGCACTCAGATTCCCTTTGAAAGGATGGCTTGCTGATCTGTGAAAAGGATGATTTTCTTAAATTGTTGCGCTTGAAATTCTTGGCTAAAGCTGGCGGTGCTGTTGTTAAAGTTAGGTGATTATGGTACTCACTTGTAATACTTGCTAAACTTTTTTTCTCTCTTTCTCTTTCCTGATCCAGAATAGATTATCTTAAACTCTGCAGCAAATAACCACCCCATAACTAGTTTGCATTTTCTTAGCCTCTCAGCAGCATTCCTCCCTAAAGTATTCAGCTTCTCTAGGCTGTTAGGAGCCAAATAATTGTTCTCTTGTATGCAGCCCTCCTCCATGATCAATACACCTTTACATGTTTTCATCGCTGCATAAATCCTTCAAGTGGGTCTTTTGGTTCTGTTACGCATAATTGTTTCTCTCACCACCATTTTGGTTGGATCACAGATTAGTGTTTTCTCTATCACTCAAAATATGGGATTGGTTTCAAGAAGTTTAGTATTTCACATACTTCATGCTAAAGAGGGAAACAATTCTAGTTGCTGGAAAGATCAAGGTTGCTGTTTGTTCTTTTGAAGTTAACCATCTACCCTTCTCTGAAGGCTGCATGGGCTTTTCGTTAAAATTTATTTCCAATCACCCCAAGCAGGAAACCATCAACAGCATCCAGTTGGACGACCTGTGTATGTTCCAGGAGGGGTGTTTTTCTTAATAGAGAATGTTTGCCTCTTAACTTGGAGTAGAAGGTATTTGTGCTAAAATCAACTTCAACAAATAACCGTTGTATTGCATGTTAGCGACGTGTTTAAATTTAGCAGGCTGCTTACTTCTGATGAAGACCATTTCTGACAACATGTCAGTTGTTTCTTTGGGGATTTGTGTCACGGGCTTCCTTTACACATGCAGTATAAATGAAATTGTTGAGGTATAATATCAGAGAACTAAAGGTGTTAATATTCGGATTTAAACCAAAACTACCTTTCTTTACTCTTCTGGTACTAGTTAGGTCAGAGGTCTCCAAGTTCCTATAATTTAATTCTGAGTTAGTCTTTTTCTTTCTACTTAGCTCCCATTCTGAATCCTCTTCCTCCCATAAACAGCAAACATGAACTCTCTTAAACACATCGCCATTGTACTCTGGAGTTCCAGGCCTGAGGGTTGCCATTTTGGACTTCTCTTTTGCTTTGTCATAGTCCCAGACCACGGAACACAGACAGGACATTCTAATCCTTCGTCTGCTCCCCAGCTTCCTTCCTGTCCTGGCTCTGCGTCTTCTAAATGGAAAATTCCAGGCATATCAATTGATGATGCACCCATTTCTTCTTGTTGAAACACAGTCCAGTGGAATTGCATCTAGAGTAATTGCTCAGATTCTTATCACTTCAGTGTCTGTCTGAATGTTTGGAAAGTACTAGCATCTGAAACAATTTGCACCTTCATTTCTTCCTTTGGTTTGGCTTGGGAGGTGCGGTGTGTGGGAGAAAGATCTAAAATGGCCTGCTGTCTGCTTAATTGACGTTCCAGCAGAGGGAGGGAGAGACGGAAGATTCTGGATGAGAGACCTTCCAGCAAAGGGGCCTGCTTTCTCTGCTTCTCTCCCCAGCCCCCAACTCTCTGCCAGTTTCTTTTAAATAATCCTTCCTGATTCCACTTCTGTGGTGGGGGGCAATTAGTCACAGCTCAAAAAATGCTGAATGTCTTCTCTAAGCCAGGCTGCCACAGAGAGGAGACGTCCAGGGGGTGGAGACCCCATTCCTAACTCCTGGGTTAAATGCTGGTTGTTTGAATGTTTTAAGACCAGGCCTTTTGCTTCTAGCTTGGGCATATTTTTTCACTTCGTAATTTAACCTATATATTTTTCATATTCCTGTCTCATTGGTAGATTGTAAGATTTAGAAGGGAGGTCTGGAAAACCCTCTGTCTTGAAAAATTTCAGACATCAGAAATCTCGGTATACCCTACGGAACACCTCCAACCTGCCTGCTTTTGAACCCTGTGTTAACAATTAGAAACTTGTTTACTCAGAGGCTGGGTTCTTATTGGCCCGTGGCGAGAGATTGTAATTGTGTATCTAAAAAATGCTTTTTTTTTTTTTGCATGACAACTGAAATAGTAATTTAACTTGAAAAAGAGAACAACCTAGTGTTTACAAAAACCTCCAGTTAGGAGTCTTAACACTTAGTTGAAATCGAGTGTGGGTTTCTTTGCCCCACCCCCCTGCATAAGGATGGGGGATTGTCTGCAAGGTGGGTTTGTTGTTGGAACTTCTAAGTAGCTGCCCCATGGGGCGAGTTCTTATCCTCCCCAAACATGAACGTAATTTGCTCTGTTTCAGCTTGGCTGAAGACGAAATAAAAACAGAACAGGAGGTGGGAGAGGGCATGGATATCTCTACTCGCTCCAAAGGTGAGTAAAAACCTTGTATTACCTATTCCAAAGCAGAAGAGGAAATTGGAATTTTTTTTTGTTGCTGTAGCAGAACTGCAAAGCGCAGCCCTAGGAGCCAACGTTGTCACACACGTCCGATTTTGAAAGAAGGAACCTTTGATGGATGGACCTAATTTATGGAGAAATCGCCTCGTTTTTGATTTTCTTTTCCTTGCATGTTTTTGTAGGTGCGCTGACCTGTCAGTAATCCTCCCGACAGTAAATTTTACGTGCATGTCATGACTGAGGGTGCTGGCTGCCTCTTCACAGAGTAATTTTCACGAATCAGAATTTTAATAAAAACATGTTCTAGAAGCTGCTGCTGGTTTCCTGATTTTAATAACAGGCCTCTTTGGAATCGCAGAAGTGGGGCAAAGTTGGCCCACTTTGTTAGAAAACCGGGATCTTGGATTAGAGATAAAAAGGAATGTAGGAGTCTCTGGGATGCTGAGTCCAGGCTTTGCGTTTAGGAGAGATACTTTAGGAAATGAGGACAAATAGAGCTTATGTTTTATTCAGAATCCTGGGTTAGACTTCCAAAATCTTCAAATTGCAGGATTGCTACTTTTCATTTGGTCTGTGTGAGAGATTTTTAGGAGGCTTCCAAAAGGAAGCAGCCGTTCCTCCTTCTCCTTCAGGCTGTTTTTAAAAATGAGTGACTGGAACGCTTTTCATATCTTTAGTTGATGAAAACGCTCATCTCCAAGCTTAATGGTCGTACCAAGGTGTTTGTATTCCTTCAACAAGTCATTGAGTGCACGCTCTGAGCCCACAGCCCTGTGTTGTGGGTTATGTGGGAGGGAGGGAAGCAGGAAAGGAGGAGCAGAGAGAGGTTTATTACTCACTCTTGACCCAGGAGGAGATTCCAGTCTAGCTAGCAGGTGTCACAAAAAGTGACTCCTTAAAGGCGTCGGAAACAAAGATGCTTTTTGAGGATTTTTTAAGACAGCATGTCATTTGGGGCAAAGTGAAGGACAGATAGTCCAGGCTATACCCACAGATGGGAGAGCTGGCAGCTGTTGTGGCTGACCTGGCAGATGGGGGATGGGCAGGGTTCAGGGGGAGATGTGCAGAAGCGGGGAGTGTTCTGGAAGGCCAGGCTGGCTGGGTGCGTGGGCTGTGCTCGGCAAGCACGGAGAGGAGTTGGGAGGGTGGGCTGAGTCAGAGCCACCGCCCGGTTATCAGCCCCTACTCAGCCCAGGCCACCAGGCGGTCAAGGTTTCAACTTAGTGGTGAAGGGAGCCACAGGGGAGTTTTTTGTTTTTTATTTTTTCCCATACAAAAATTTATGTATACATTGTTATGTGACTCTAATTGTTCTCCCTATACTGTGACAGCACACTCCTCCTTTCTACCCCTGATTACCAGTGTCCATTCAACCAGCTCCTAACCTTCTCTGCCTTCCCATCTCACCTCCAGACAGTTAGTTTCTTATATTTATTTGAGCTAAGAGGCACGCTTCTCATGAGTATCACTTTACGTCCCACAGTCCAGTCCAATCCCTGGCTTCGGAAATTGTTTTAGTCCTGGACTGATAGAGAATCCAGGGGCCATGCTTCTGGCGTTCCTCCAGTCTCAGTCAGACCATTAAGTCTGGTCTTCTTACTAGAATTTGGGTTCTGCATCCCACCTTTCTCCTGCTCCATCTAGGACTCTGTTGTGTTCCCTGTCAGGGTGGTCATTGGTGGTAGCCGGACACCATCTAGTTCTAGTCTCAGCTGATGGAGTCACTGGTTTATGTGGCCTTTTCTGTCTCTTGGGATACTACTTTCTTTGTGTCTTTGGTGTTCTTCATTCTCCTTTACTCCAGGTGGTTGGGACCAATTGATGCATCTTAGATGGCTGCTTGCGAGCTTTTAAGACCCTGGATGCCACTTACCAAAGTAGGATGCAGAACATTTTCTTAATATGTTTTGTTATGCCAGTTGACCTAGATGTCCCCTGAAAGCATGGTCCCCAGGGGAGTTTTAAGCAAGGAAATAACCTGTCTGAAGAGGTGTTTTGAGTCACTGGTAATGAGAAAGCCCATGCTGTTGTGATCAGAACCAAATGTGGTCTGGCAGGAAACGTGGCAGGGCGGAGAGAGGGGGTCCGGAGAAGGGCTCCTTGTCCTTGCTCTGCCACTCACTTAACTGCAGGGGCTTGGACAAATGACACTTTTCTGTCACTGTCCCTCTGGTTTTCTGTCTGTAAAATGGGTGCTCGATTAGATCATCTCTCTACCTTGTGCTTTTCTTGTTAAAATAACACTCAAATTAGAAGTTATTTTCGAGGCTTGTGCTTGCTCCAGGAGCTTACTCATTGAATGATGAGGCAGTGGTGGTTGAGTGGTAGGATTCTTGCCTTCCATGTGGGATACCCTGGCCAATGCACCTCATGCACAGCTACCACCTGTCTGTCAGTGGAGACTTGTGTGTTGCTATGATGCTGAACAGGTTTCAGCGAAGCTTCCGGATTAAGATGGACTAGGAAGAAAGGCGTGGCAATCTATTTCCAAAAATCAGCCAGTTGAAACCTTATAGATCACAATGGTCCAATTCGCGACCGATCCTGGGGATGGCACAGGACCAGGCAACGTTTTCTTCTGTTGTGCATGGGTCACCATGAGTTGGGGGCTGACTCCACGGCAGCCAATAACAACAAGAACAATCCTGTTATGAGCAGGAGGTGTTCTTCCCCCTTCGCAGATGAGGAGACTGAGGTTCCAAGTGGTAACGTCTCAGGGTTAGTACGAGGCAGAGCAGGATTGAACTGAGGCTCTGCCTCCAAGGAGGTGCTTCCTGGACGCTCAGGTGCCTGTTTTGCCCCTGGGGCCGGATGTCAAGTGTTTTCTAAAAGGATTTAAGTCACCTAGGGTAGAAGATTTGCCCTGCTTGGCCGTCATCTGTGGGTAAGACCCCTCATTATGTCTTCATACCCACTGGCTGCTCTCAGCTCTTCCCAGATGACTTCTGTCTCTGCCTGTGCTGCTGCAGATGTGTGTACTCCGGGGAGCCGGGGTCCTCCTTTATCTCATCTGCCCCCTCTGATCCTCTTCCTACAGCAGCCAGGACTGTCTTTAAAAACATGAATCATATCCTGCCCGTCTTGCTAACGCCCCCCACTGACTTTCTAGTGCCCTTGGGTTCAAATCTGAACTCACCATGACTTGCTTACAGGGGCTGACCCGTTCGCTTGTGTTTGTTCACCTCGCGAAGTTCTGTTCCATTCCTTTTGTTTCCCTCTGTGGCTCTGCCCTCTCTGTTCCCTCCTCAGAGCTATGTGTCCTGTGCCCTTTGCACGGGTCCTAGCTGCTTGTTTCTTGTCTCTCAGATATCATCTCCAACGTCCCCTCCTTGGAGAGGTCTTTGGCCACCCCGTCCAAAAGAGCCATTCTGTTGTTTTGTGTTACATTTCCTCAAATATGTTTTTTATTTTAGAATAGCTTTCGATTTACAGAGAAGTTGTGAAGATAGTACAGAGAGTTCTCATATACCCGCCAGAGCGCCCCTATTATTAACATCTTGCATTAGTATGGTACATTTGTCACTTAATGAACCAATATCAGTATGTTGTTACTGACTAAAATCCATACTGTGTTCAGGTTTCGTTGATTTTTACCTGGCGTCCTTTTTCTGTTCCATTTTTCTGTATCCAGCCAGGACACACATTACATTTACTTGTCATGTCTCCTTAGGCTTCTCTGGGCCGTGACAGTTTCTCTGTCTTCGCCTGTTTTTCATGACCTTGATGGTTTTGAAGAGTATTGGTCAGATATTTTGTAGAATGTTCCTCAGTTGGGATTTGTCTGTTGTTTTTCTCTTGATTAGACTGGGGTTATGAGTTTTTGGGGAGGAAGATCTCAGAGGTAAAGTGCCGTTTCATCACATCATATCAAGGGTACATGCTATCAACATGACTTATCGCTGTTGATGTTGACCTTGATCACCTGGCTGAGGTAGTTTGTCGGGCTTCTCCACCGTGAAATTATCCCTTTTTTACTCCCTTTCTATGCCATACTTTTTGGAAGCAAGTCACATATACAGCCCATACTTAAGGAGTAGAGAGTTATGCTCCATTTCCTCGAGGGAAGAGTAACTATGTAAATTACTTGGAATTATTCTGCAAGGGAGATTTGTCTATTCTCTCACATTTATTTACTTATTCGTTCAGTCATATCAGTACGGACTCATGGATCATTATTCTTATATTTTCAGTTGTAATCCAGTATTAATTTATTTTGCTGCTTGAAGTGTTCTGTTTTGGCCGTCGGGAGCTCTTTGAGTCGGCTTCTCTGTCCCTTTAACGTGCTCCCAACGTTGTGGGGTTATATTGATTTATTTTTTTGAGCACTTTACCATGTAACACTACAAGATGCTCCAGGTTTATTCTGTGTATTTCCTGCTTCACTCCTAGAATCAACCCTTTCTGCGAGGAGCTCTGGTTCCTTTTGTTGGAGAACGGTATTGGAGACCAAGAACTGGGTGCTGAATGTGCTTGTTGCCACTGGCTGTCTTTGTTTCTAGGCCCTCTCAGTTGACAGAGCAAGGAAATATACGTATATGTATACTAACCTGTGTGCATACCCACCCATTGCCGTCGAGTTGATTCTGACTCATGGTGACCCCTTAGGTCACAGATTAGAGCTGTTCCATAGTTTTTTGGGCTGTAATCTTTACAGAGGAGCCCTGGTGGTGCAGTGGTTAAACACTGTACTGCTAACTGGAAAAAAAAAATGTTGGTGATTTGAACCCACCTGCTACTCCGCAGGAGAAAAATGTGGCAGCCTGCTTCCATAAAGATGTACAGCCTTGGAAACCCTATGAGCCACCTCTGCTTTGTCCTGCATGGTCGCTGTGAGTCGGAAATGACTCGATGGCAGCGAGTTAGGTCAGGTTTAGAGAATCTTTACTGAAGCAGGATCACGAGCCTTTCTTCTGTGGAGTTGCTGGGTGGGTTTGAACTGCCAAAGTTCCAGTTAGTAGTTGAGTTGGCTCCAT